ATATCAGATATTCAAAATATTGCATAAACACATTAAGCACAGCCATCACATTAATTAAAATCAAACTTTTGAGCAATAAGAATCTATGATTTTGTATCCGATACATTGTTTATATTTATAAAATTAAAAATAAGAATATAAAAAGAAAACATAAGTCTAATAAACCATTTTTTTAAACTTTTGTTCATATTCTTAATCTAATTGTTATCTTTAAGTTATGGGTGTACAGTTATTTGTATTATGATTACATTGTGTGCTACGTATTACAGAGAAAAATGTAAGGGGGTTCAATGAAGAAAGCTCTTCTTTTAAAAGGGGTCTATGAAAAAAAGATTGGAAACACATGATTTACATACTCAAAACAAGGTGATTTTTCACATAACTGACAACTATATACTAAAACCGAGCAAAGATATCTTCAAAATTTTAATTAACTTTACAAAAAAAAAATTTCTATCACAACCTGCAATCTGATGATATCAAGCATAAAGAAATAATTTCATTCAATACTTTTTATTTGCATTCAGATGATCTAATTTTAAAAATTCATAATCTTAACACTTTAGTACTTTCAGGATGAATAACAATCATTATCTAGAAATATGTACTACCAATATATACAACCGTTATATGTTAAGTTATATAGAAAAATTGTTGTGGAATTTCATTCATCCAAAAAAATAAAATTAGGATAACAATTTTTGGTACTATTCCGTTTTGAGGACCGTAAAAAATTGCAACGAAAATATATGCGCAAAAGCACCAAATCTAGCAAAAGCATCCATTTAACAGCGCGCCAAATCTAGCGTACGCGCTGATTTCAAATTGTGTAGTTTAGATAGTTCTATATTTCTTAAGACGCCATTGAAATACTAGTTTAATTTTTAAGTCCTTTTTTGATATCCTATAGATTTAACAATTTGGGAATTGCCCATAACGAAAAGTCTGCAATAGAATTTTTTCAAAGAAAAGGCATCATTCATTATAGAAAATTATGTTTGAACAACCAACGAGATGAAATTATGCTCTAGCGATAACTCGGTAGCGAAAGAGCGATGCAAGAGTCCATTCAGTTATGGTTAGCCTTTTCTTATATAAATTATAATAATAATCTGAAACATTTATTTACTCTTATGCTTCCATTCAGTTATGTTTAACCTTTTTTTATTAAATTATAATATAAAAAAGTATTATATGAAATTACCTTTCATATAATGAAAAACAATAATCTTTAGATAGTTTATTTCGTATAATACTTCCTTTCTTGCGTTAGGGTCGCCGCAATTATTTTTGGCGGCATCAATAATAGTTTGGCGATTTTTTACGGTCCTCAAAACGGAATAGTACCCAATTTTTATTACATGCATTTATGTAAATATTTACAATATATTATCGTTATCACAACACAAAACAGACTAATTCACATTCATAAGATCTTACAGAAACAAAGATGCAATAAATGATGATAAACAGGAAATCACAAAACATTTAATATCGATATTTTGTTGAATAATCTTTCGGAGATATTACCAGACCTCTACCTTTCCTTGCACCTCTGTATAGTACTTCTAGAATGTCAATCATTTCATTTTTGTCTTCAATTGCCCAGTTGATCTTATTGTTGTTACCAGTTCCCAAATCAATTTGGATATGTTTGTTACGGAAGAAAAACATAAGAGTACAAGGGTCATATAATTCATACATTTTGTTAAAGTCTGGAACTTCAGTAGTATCCACTAAATAAATAACTGCAAAATTCTTAATTCTTTGTGCAATCTTATATAATGTTTCATCCATTTTCATGCATGTTGGATCCCAATCATGTCCAAATCGAATTACTACTAATCTGTCCTCTTCTGATAGGATAGCACGGTCAACTTGCCATCCATTATGAAGATGTTCTAGCATGTAAGACATTGTCAAAAATTTGCTCTTCTGTCAAGCACTAAGTGGAAGAAAAATACAAGAATTATTTAATTATGTATGCACTGCTTAAAATGCAAAATTTTTACAACAGTCATACTTAAACCAGAAATCAGATGGAGAAAGACAAAAGACTAATCATGTGTTTAATCTTTAAGAATACCTATTAATTCTATTTTCAACTAAAATAATACCAAATTTATTTATTAAAAGATTTCAAAGTAGGAATTTTTTTATTTAAAAACTGCATTTAAAAAATTTAGAACTACTTATGACAACCAAAAATTTGATTTTCATATAATATTAAGCAGTACTTGCATATTATCCAGTTCACTATGAAACTCGCAGGTAGAATGACTTTGTGCCAATTTTGGATAAATGGACGTTAACAACATACTCACAGTATACACGCTCTTGTTTGATGTAATCCTGACCAATTCTCAATAAGGAATTTTTTGTTTTTATGAACAAGGATATATGATTTGCTCACTACTATTGCTGTATTTTCCCCCTTGCAGTAAAAAAAAAAAAAAAAAAAAAAAAAGGTGTAGAATTATATTTCCAATGGCAATTTAGTTTTTTAACAGCTAGTCAAAAGAATTAACATTCACTGAATGGGGGGGGTGGATATGGCTGACAAAACAGTAATAGACTAGAACCTGCAGACAGTATTTACAGCATTATAAACAGAGCTTTCAGTAAAACTGGAAGTTGTAATAGTTGACGGATGTGACCCCCCTCCCCCATAAAAAAAAAAGATTTACTGTAAGAGTTGCAGATGGAAGTGTGGCTCAGAATTCCTGATGAACAAGTGGCAGGACATTGGTGGGATCTCTCCCAAATTTCATAACTTTCATGGTTCAATGATTACCAACATTCATGGCCAAGAGAATAATACGTAAGTATCCAGTGAACTGAACAATCTTTTAATCAAAACAAAATCACTATCCTGTTAGAGAAATGTAGTGTTCAAAATGAAATTATTTATAATATAATTTTCCCAGCAAACGAAAGAGACATGTTCCAGCTTTGAACATGACTCTTCCGTGGGCAAACACTATCATGACCCTGTAAATGTTGAAGCAAATGACTTGGAATTTTCTACTAATGATTTTATATTTAATGCACAGTGTGAAAATTTTCTAGCAATCCTCCCTCCCCCCCTCGAAAAAAGTGACTGCACTAAATTTTATTTCCTTTTGATAGTACAGAGAAAAAGAAATATTACAATTTTGAATTTCATGAAACAATGTAAAGCAGCTGTACATTATTTTCAACAACATGAAGTTTTACCACTGGGAACACAATGTAAAATGAACATGACATGTTGCATCTGAAACCAGACTGTTAGTCACATTGCATGATTGATTTACTTTATAGCTACATGCTTTTAAATAAAAAGTTCAATGTGTCTATAATTTTTCATATTATGCATAATACAGCATATCATAAACTCTTGAAAAACTATACTGAAATACATCTAGCCACTGAAATATGAAATGGATCTCTCTTTAGGGTTGGCAAGTTTCTTCTATTAAAGGAAAAGAAATGGAGGAAATTAAGTTTTAAACTTATTTTATGTTTATATTATTTTATTCACACTTTATTCATATACATTAGCACTTACATTACTAATTTAAGTATCTTCATTTTTCTATGTAAGATTAAAATCACCATCTGCATACTTGGAATACCCTTTCTTTGATAATATATATGTGTGTTTGGGTATAAACTGGTTAAGAGATCATTTTTACATCTGTGAATTTATACTGGTTCTAATCTGTAATCTAATTCTAATTTGTGAATTTATACTAGTTTTGTTATTTATATCCATAACAAAAATAGCAGAACTATTTAAAAAGATAAGAAAACAAAATGGAACTACTAAAATAATAGTAATTAGAAAACTGAATTTAGATCATCACAAAAACAGTGTAACAAAACAGAAAATTTTTAGCTATTCAGTGTAATAACCTATTTTGAAATTTTGATAATGAATGGATAATAATTCAAATGAGGAGAAAGTTTACTCTAATGGTGCTTAACTTCAATTACATTCATTATATATGCAATTCATGTGAAATTTCAGAAATGAAATATTCCTGACGGATGAAAAAAAAACTTCGTAGGAGAAGGTTGCCTAGTGAGTGGATAAAGCATATCAATAAATCCAAGCTGATATAATCATACTAGCTTTTATTATATCAAAAATCATTGAAAAGTAACGTCGAAAGAAGTGATTTAGAACAGAGCAATTAAAGTGACCTTACAGTCATTTGTTTATTTAATTCTGATACTGATGCATCACATTTTGACTATTTTATATATATAAATGCAGTTTTTCTGTTTGATTACATAATTTACATATTTCTTTTCTTGTCGTATGGTAATTTATGATAATAAAATTTACCAGGTCCATAAAAGCAACGTCTATTAGAAATTAGCAGAGTTCAACTTTGGAAAGTTTAACCCTTTCGCGAGATTTTTTTTTTTTTTTAACAACAGAACAATTTTGATAACATAAACTATGAGTAGGGCACTCTAGAATGCTAAAAATTAAGATGTTATATTTTTAGAAAAATTTTGAACACTGATTTAGGACCGGGACATATATGTCCCATCAGTCCTGACCGCTGGGACATATGTGTCCCAGTAGTCTTCAATGAGTAATTTTGTAAAGAAAACCAATGATTTTCTAGTCATAAAAATTTAATTACGAATGGTATGGTTTGAAACAATCAATGCACAATGCGACATTACACATCGTGCACATTATTTTAGTGCGCGATTCCTTCTTTTTTGTTGTGCACATTTACGGCACCGCCGTCGGGTTTTTGTTGTTACTGGCAGATGGTCACCAACATTGAGTAAGCTTCGTGATGTTTTGGATGGGCGTCCAGTTCCTCTACGGCGTTGATACTGTGCGTTGAGCTTTCCGGACGCCATCAAGGCTTCTGCAAGAGGTACAATGAAATCAAGAAGTGGGGTTTTTTTCGATGTTTGAGTTCGCAGTACGCAATCCATGACTTGACCACTGTGCTCATCAACAGGTGAAAAAAAGACCACTTGCAAGATTTTCAATCTAATTCATAGACATTTGCCATTTGATCTGCAAGGTCTACACCTCCCATGATTTTGTTGTAGAATTCGATTGCCACAGGGCACTCAAATTCTTCTTTGCTTCCATCTTTCATGGTGCGATTTACTTTTGTGTATTTAGCTTCGTGGCAATTACTTAGCATCATCACTTCCTTTGAATCAAGCCACCTCGCACACAATGTTCCATTTTTAGTTACGAGAAACTCAGCCTCACCCCTTTTGCTTAGTTTTGTTGCAAAATTAGGAACATCTTTGCGTGTCTTGATGCATGTACCAACAGCAGGAAATTTCAGGGTTTCCATCAGGTGCACACTTGTAAAAAATCGGTCAAACGCAAGCATCACGTCTTTACCTCGGATTGTCTCCGTTAGCTTTGATACTACCCGTTCCCCGAGTGTGCCTTGAACTTCACCCGTTTCTTTTCCGGAATAAATGTTCATGTCATATACATATCCTGTTTTTGAATCACATCGCTGCCAAATTTTTATCCCTCTTTTCACAGGTTTCATCGGCATATATTGTTTGAGGGATGAACGTCCCTTGAATTTCGCCATTGATTCATCAATAGCTTGATATGAGCTTTCGCTTCGGCACTGTTTGAAGGTTTGTTTCAGGCACGAAACAACCTCGTCAATATAATATGTTTTACTTGCATTTTCTGGCTTTTCTGGTGCAGCAAAATATAGTTTCGACAGCAACGTTTTACATCTGTCTCTTGAAATAGCATTTTTTATTGCTACGTTTCCCAAAGAAGGATTAGATGACCAATAATGAGAGAATTTCGGCACCCTATTGTAAGACATGACAAGCATGCATCCAAGGACAAGCATAATTTCAGAGGGGTCTGTAGGGTGAATTGTTTGTCCTAACTTTTCGAGTCGTTGGTTTGTGCATTGAGAGATCCAAATCATAAGACTTTTTGGAAATATCTTGAGAAACACGTCCAATTTGGTAGCTGAACGATTTAATTTGAATAACAAACTAGGCGATGACTCTGCTGGAATTGTCATTCGAGGTTGGAAAGTTGAATCTGCATGAAACCATAAGATTGGTTTGCAGCCTGAAGCATTAGCTGATGGTATCTCATCAACTGATGAAAGTGATGCCGTATCAGTATCACTCAAAGCATCGCTGTTCTTTGTATTTTGGGGAATGGTATCATGATCGATATCCATTTCACACTCGTCTGAATCGGATGAGTACTGCAAATTGTGTGTTGGATCTTGAAAATCGGGATCGTCTATTTCATCATCCAAATCAATATCTTCATCATCTGACTCTTCTAAAATTTTTTTGATTTCTTCATTAGTAAGTCCCCGGCGTCGAGTCATTTTAGATTGAATTAATATGTGCCTAAATTAAAAATAATAAGCAACTATTTCAAAAGTAACCGAAAAATATAATATCTAGAGATAGAGAAATGATCACATAGGACTGTTGGGACAATGTGTTCCCACTATCCAAGATGAGAGGGACACATATGTCCCGATAATAAAAATGGAAGTAAAACTTTGCCACTTACCAGTTTATTCGAGGTAATCCGCTTCGTGAGTTACTTATCTGACCTTAGATTTATGGATAAATTAAAATTTAATCAAAAATAGGAGGTACTTTCCAAAACTAAACTATTTACGTTCGTAGAGTATGGAATGAGCTGCTACAACACTTCAAAAATGCGGGAATTACATTATGTATGTTAGTGCCATCTATGTTCTGTGAATGAAAATAACTTCAAAAATATTGGCAGAACTGGTGGGAAAGTCTCCCATTAGACAAAGAAGCGTTTCTATCCCAATAGTATTTTTTGAAATTTCCTTGGGACATATGTGTCCCATTAGGCGCGAAAGGGTTAAGGTACAATTGTTTACTTATTTATGTACTACTGTTTATAGTTATTTAGCAAATGTTATCACAGCTTGAGTATAGGACCCCAATGGCGACTTTTGGCTTAGCACACTTTTTGGACAGTTGTTTTCCTGGTAACTCAGCAAATTCTAGAATACTCCACTTCGGCAACCCTGTCACATTCCCGCGTGTTTTAAACTGCAAAGTGTCATTTTCTTCGAAGGAGCAAAATATTGTTGTATTGAACAAATTTCTCAAAATTCTAAGGGACATAAATTGGGCAGAGTATAGGATTTCTTTGTAAATTTACCATGATTTTGTAAACTTTACTAACTTTCCAGCATTTCTTTTATTTTTAATTTAAACATATATTCTGAACTCCTGTTTTCAGTTTTATACCTTAAAACTTGCATTTTCAATATTGCTGCTTAAAATATGCCTCCATGTACTTGTGTATTTTCAAACTTTTCTTTACTTTTAATTTAAACATGCATTCTTAACTCCTATTTTCATATTTTTAATTTAAACATGTATTCTGAGCTCCTCTTTTCAATTTTACAGCTTGTAATTTGTATTTTCAGTACGACTGCTAAAAATATGCCGTTATTTATTTATTTTCAGTTTCACTGTTTAAATATATATTCTAAATTTGTCAAAAGTCAGTTACATATTAATACAGTCAAAAGTCGTTAATCCGGACACGTCGGGACTTCGGCGATTCCGGATTATCGATTTTTCCGGATTATAGATCATCAGTTTAAATCTGGTAAGATGGCATGCAGAAATTATAAAATTAAAAATATGAAACCGTAATTTATGAAATAAAGAACAATTATGATCTAAAGGGTATCAAAATTTACAAAAAAAAAAAAAAAAAAAAAAAAAAAAAAGCTTAATATTTATTTGTTTACTTTATTAAACATTTCTTTCAATGAAAGTTGTTTAAGTTGCTTCGTTTTTTATGTGGTAATACATTCTCTTTAATTCTATAAACAGACGTAATTTCTTGTTCAGTTACAAAGTTCTGCTGTTCAAGTCCTATAACTGCTGTGTCTACCGACTAATTTGTCAATTGAAATTTTTTCGTTTTCAATAACCTCTGTCACTTTCTTCGCTATCGGAAGCGAATTATAATGACGAGGAATTTGATTTAAATCATATCAAAGATGGAGTAAATCAAGATGAAATACTACATTTAGTAAGGAATTTTAAGCCAAATAAAATAAAAATATCTGCCCTGAAGATAAGGATAGTGCTGACAGATCAACTTCCAATTCATTGTGCGCCGCCACTGCGTTAAAGATAAACAAAGTTTAGATAAACAAAGGATATGCCTTTATCCATTTTTTGCAGCAATTCTACTTTTTGTTTAATGAACTTTGAAATATACTTTCCCTTTGTAGATCCTTTACATATTAATAAATATATATCAGAAATTCTATTTGACATAATCGAAAGTTCAAGCTCACTTTTATAAAATTGCTCTAACAGTCTGCAAAAAATAATAAGCCGGATCCAATTCGAAGACTAAGGAACAATGCAATCTGCAACATTAACTGAAATAGATAATTGTATAATTTTAGCTTAGCTTATACCGTCCGTTATACATTAAACGCGCACTCGTAAACATATTTTGTGCACGCGCACAAGCATATTCGCAGCCGTAAAGGTCTTAATTTCTTACTTTCTGCGCGCGCAGAAAGTTTGTAGCTTTGAGGTCCGGATTGTAGATCATTCCGGATTATGGGTGTCCGAATTAACGACTTTTGACTGTATTTATAATTTTTCTTGTTAAAATGTGCATTCTAACATCTGTTTTCAATTTTAACTGGCTTTACAAGGCCAAACTCGTATTATCAATATTACTACTTAAAATGTGCCCTACTTACTTACGTACCTTCAAATTTGCTGTTTAAACATATATTCTAAAAATGTTTCTGGTTAAAACGTGCTTTTTAACTTGTGTTTTCAATTTTAACGGCTTTTCCATGGCTTGGCGACATTTCTGGTCACCAAGCCAAAAAATCGCCAATGGGGTCCTATACTCAAACTGTTCCCAATGGTGATTATATCAACATGGAATGGTATTGCTCAATAAATTTATATTAAGTGTGATATTTCAGAATTTGTTGGTAGGGCGTATATGACAGCGTGGCTTATCCGATGAACTTTTTTCTTCAGTCAATTACCACAGTCCTGTAATTGCTCTGTCTATAATTCCATTATATGGTAAACTTAGATTTTTTTTTAATTCTCAACAACCTCTCTGTCACTTTCTTCACTATCAGCAGCAATATTTAAACCATACTACAGATTTTGCTGTCCCTTAGCTTATTGATTATTAGGATATCTTTATTACAATGGAATACTTCTTTTATATCATCTTCATTTATAATCATTTCTCCATATTTCATTAATTGTAAAGTTTCACTTTTTGTTCACAATATCCAAGAGCCTTCAAATTTGTGCGCATCACTGTAAAGCTTAGATAGCATCTGCTATTATGAGATTGACTATTAAAGAGATGTTCCACAAAATTAAGTCTTGCTTCTATTGCACTTCTGAGAAGTTTCCTGAATGAGCTTAGTTATTTATCATACTTAATCTATTTCCCACATATGCTTAAGACGTATCCAAGTCCCGAATTAATAAATTCATTAAAGACTTATTGGAACAACAAATCGGTTGCTCTTAAACAGCACTAAATATAGTCTTTTAGCTTATGAATATCATTTAAAAATCCAATTTTATGCATATGGAAAGAAATTTCTGTTAAATTTCTCCTTGTCAACACACTCAATGCTTCATAATGCAGTTGGCTGTAGTCCATTGTTGACACCAAGTGTATGGGATTGAATATGGGATGAATTTTAAACATATTATTTAATTTATTTTGCATTATTACCATCACATTTTGCTGCTTTCAGCACACAAATGGATTAGATTTTTAACACCTTTATTAATTTTTGTATGTATACAGAGCTAATCCAGAAAGAAAATACCAGTTGGGTATTAAAAAAGATAAGCAATTTGTTTTCTTTTGTACTTCATCACAACAAAATCTATACAAATTACTTTCTGACACATTCACCATGCAAATTAAAGCATTTGTCATACCATGGGACTAACTGCAATATCCGCACTCAATAGAATTCAGCCACCTGCAACTTGAACCAGTTCTGGATGTTTACCATTTTCCATAATCTGATCATCACTTGCAAAGTGCTAGCGAGTAAGAAATTTGATGAGAAAACAAATACAGAACAGAAACAACAAGCTGATGAGAAACAAGTTGGAGCTAGGTCCAGACTATATAGGAAGGATGAGAGAATTGTTCCCAATGAAATGAATCAAGCAGTGTCATCCTTATACATACGATATGCGGTCATGCACTGTCATGCACGAGCACAATACTAGAAGTTAGTAATACACACCTTTTGTTCTGCATTGTCTGCTGCAAGTTTTTCAGTTTCTTGCAGTATGCTACAGCAATGACTTTTTTGCCTCGTTTCATTCAGTCCACTAGGAAAAATTCCTTGGCAGTCCCAAAATACAGTGTAAATGATTTTTTATTTTTTGAAGAAAAAGGTAGCTCTGCTTTCTCGAGTTCTGGAAAACAGAATGCCCCCATTCCAGTGACTTTCTATTCGTTTCAGATGTCTCGTAACAAATCCATATTTCATTCATTGCCCATGACAATCCTTTTCAAAAAATAATTTCCTTCTGTTGCATATAATGCAGCAAAAACTTCAAGATTGCTGTCATGCATTTCCATTTTTGAATGTCTGTTGGTAGTACCCACTGGGAAAACAATTTTTTGTAGTGCAAATGTTCAATCACAGTTTCATGTAATAAAGATTATGAAATGTTTTGAAAATGCATTAACAAACCAGAAATTATGAGTCATCTATTGAAACAAATTTTTTAGTTGATTCAGTGCACCAAATCTTTGGTTATTTACTATGGGCTGCCCTGCACTTCTTATCGTGGACATTTTTTTTCGTCATTAGTCCAATTTTGAACCATACTTATGCTCATCACGTCCTCTCCCAAGTTTCACATTTCTGACAATAAATTTCACAAGGTCAAACATTTCTCGCATTAAAAAACTTGATAATAGCTCTTATTTTACAGGTGGCAGACTGATCGATTATCTTAAACATGGCAAAATGATTACCGACGTTAGAACAATGACTTCAAACATTACTGCAAACAATCAAAAGGGCTATGCTAATTTGTTTTCGAGTTGAATGATGTACATATGCATGCACGACCTTCATGCTGTCTGATGCGTGGGACATATGCGCAAATGGTACTTACTTTCTGAATCAGATTTGTATATATATATATGTGTGTGTGTGTGCATACTGCATGAACTTTTTTTAATCTGCTATGAGATCTGCAAGTTTGAATTCATTTTGAAACTAAATCCCAGTTCCAAAGAGCAACAAAAACATAACTAAATGTAAAACTAATTCATGTTAAT